TGTTTCTTTTGAGTTTTCTAAGTATACAATTTTCTTGTCTTTAAATAATGGTGTTTTTATTAAGCTTTTCCAGTTCTTTACTTTTGAGATTATTTATTCTAATCCCTTTATTTCATAGTTGGGAAGATTGAGGCCCAGAGGGAAGCCACCCATTTGACAATAGCTAGGCCAAGGTTCTGGGCTTCTGCCTGGGGCTCTGTGTGCTATTTCCTGCCTTCTGTTTTCCTTTCCTGGCAGTCTCTCTCGCTTCCTCTCTCCTTTGCTTGCATTTTCAGAGATTTAGGCCTTCCAGCTATGAGGGGAAAGGGGAGGGAGAGGGTGCTCACTAGCCCTTCTGCAGGCTCTCCCTGCTGACATGAAGTGCCCCAACAGCACCCCACAGACAAGTCTAGGTTCTGGGCCAGAGACTTAGGAGGCCTGGTGGGGATGAGAGGGAGACAGGGAGAGGGAAGTTGACAGAAGTTCCTGGGCAGAATAATAACAACGTGCTGCTTTCTAGCCAAAACTCCCTGCTGTACCTCCCCCAAGCACTCTTCACATGCAGTGCAGACCAGCTGCCTGAGGGGCCTCCAGGGTCTGAGCCCCCACTTGCAAGGACCGCTGTGTGCAGGCGGGTTCATGTCTGTGTCTGTGTAATTAAAAATGTGTATGCATCACTTAACCCAGTGAGGAGATGCCACCACCTTGGGTGGGATGCAACAGCTGCTTGCTGATGTATGGCTGCTTGGCTGTCCAGCCTGGTAGGGAGGGGTTGGTAGGACTGGGCAGCAAAGGGCAAAGAGAAAGCCCAGGTCCTCTCGCTCCAGTGAGGCAGGAGGTAAGGGGCCATGATGGAATAGGGATACATCCTGTGGACCTCATCCTTTTCTGGACCTAGAGCACATGTAGATGTGTGACCTAGTCCTTGGCCTGCACAAAGTGACACCTCCTTTCGGGCATTTTTTCTACCCAGCTATGAGCAAAACCAGCTCCTGGGCAGCCTGGGAGTAGCATCCATCTTCAGCCTCTAACCTGGCCCTGACCTCTTCTATTTTATATCCCCTATCCCCTTCATACCCATAGCTGAAGCCTGGGCACAGGGTGATGTTCTGAGAGCAGAACACAAAATGAGGATAGTTCAGCTCCTCAGTCTTACCTCCTTCCTTCCTCTCTCTGAATTCACTGAAAGACCTGCCAGGGGAGGTACTGTGGTTCCTGGCAGGGGATGGGGAGGGGAACCTCAGCCTATCATACTAGCCTTGTTTTTCTGGGGAACCCTGACCTGAGTACTTGCCCCCTGTGTCCTGGAGATGAGGTCAGGCTGCTGTGAGGAGTGTGTGATGTGTTCCTAAAGTGACTGAGGCAGTGGTACCATGGCAGCCTTGTGTGAGATGGTGAGTTGCTTTTTCCCTTGTCTTCCTGTATTCCTGGGTGGATAGTCAATGTTGGTACAAGGTGGGTTGGTGACAAGGGATGTGCTGTTGGCTGTCTTGTAGAACTCCCTGCATTGTGGGTGATATTCCAGATACTTCTTTTGTTTGTGTTTGTGGAAGACCCAGGTGGGAGGAAAGACTGGAGGTATGTCTAAGGGACTGGGATTCCTGAATCCAGTTTCTAGCCATTCCTGGTGAGATTTTGGCATGATTCACCAACTTCTTTCTGTTAGGTGGAAAGGGCTGTGAATGTTGCATCTCTCCCTATCTTGGAAGAGGACCTGAGCGTCCCATGAATCTATGTGCATGAGTGAATTCTTTTGGGTTGTGGGTTTGTTAGATGGCCAGTGGGATCTAAGTGGCCAGAAGCAGGTTCCCCTGTTCTGGCAACGCTTCCATGTGGCTCTGGCTATCTGGGCTGTGGAAGGGGTATGCCAGGACAGGGAAGACTTCAGGCCCATCCAGGCTCCTTTACCCAGTATTACTAGCCCAGTGTGGCATTGAGCTGATGTCCTTGGCCATTGGCAGTCTGCTCTCCAAGGGCTCCCTGGGGCTAGCTGAGGAAGAGGCAGCTGGCCTTGCCTTCCTCTGATGGTTTTCCAATATTTACCTGCTTGTAGACATGCTGCCCGGACCCTAGTCCTGCTGTGTAGCAAGAACCTGAGAACCAGCCCATGGCCACCGTCTCCTCCCCCTGAGGTTACACCTGGCTGGGAGGAAAAAGGCTTGTCCTCTCTGCCTGATTACTCAGGGACAGGGCATATGGCAAGTCCTGCCCTCTTGCTCTTTATCCCCAGTCTTCACTAGACTTATTCCTGCTTAGAGGGCAAAGCACAGAGGGGAGGAGGTTCTCCAAGGAAGAGGACTTCAAGGGCAATGATAAGTTCCATAAGTCCCTTCCCTGCTTGTGGGCTGAGGTTGGAAGTTTGACTCTGCCTTCTTCCTGCCCCTTCTTCTCTGCCCCTGAGTCTGAATTTTGACAGGACCTGGTATGTCCTGGGGTTGAGCAGTCAATGGGATTTTTTTAATATTTATTTTTTAGTGGTATTTGGTTACAATACCCTTATTTTTTATGTATTTATTTTTATGTGGTGCTGAGGATCAAACCCAAGACTTCGCACATGGGAGGCAAGTGCTCCACTGCTGAGCCACAACCCCAGCCCCAGTCAATGGGATTTTAATTAGCTCTGCGCTTCCCTCTATTAAGGAGGGCCAGGGACCCCTAGGCAGCAGCAGTTAGGATCAGGCTGGATTTGAGTTTGAGGCAGGGCTGGGCAGCTGGTGCTCCCTGTGTAGGAGGCTGCAAGGGGGTAGGGATGGGCAGAGTAGCTGGGCTACAGCTTTTTCTTCATCCTCTGTCTCCCCCGTTCCTCTGTTCTCCCCTATGGCTTTGAGATGAAGGCGACGGAAAGGATGGAGGATGCGGTTTCCATGGCAACAGGGCTGTCCATAGCCAGGCAACTTCAGAGCAGGGCTCTCTGGAGGAGGCAGATGTGCAGAGCAGCCGCAGAGCTGCCTCCTGCCTGCCAACGAGGGGGCTGGCAGAGCAGGTGGCATAGGGTGGCTGCCTGGTCCTACCCATCCTGATGCCCAGTCTAGAAGAGAGAGTGGAAAGATCACTACTCCCTTTTTTCTGTTACTTCTAAGCTCTTCTAGAAAGGAAGCTAGGGAGGTAGCCTGAGTACCAGCAGGGTTTGGGGGTAGGGGTTGCATCTCCATTGTCCCTAATCTCTGAATAGACACAAGCTTTAGTCTCTGGGAACGTCCCCCAAAGCCAACTCTCAGTAGCTCTTGAGGTGGCCAGTGGCCACTCTGCTACTGCTCTTTGGACCCTTTGAATGCCCAAAGCATGAAGATGGAGGTGAAGGTCATGCCTTGACTAGATTTGGAGACCCCTTTTTCCCCCCTCTGACAACTAAGGAAGGACCCAGACCTCCTTCAGGAAGCCTCTTTGGCCCTGACCTCGGCAACTTGGCCCAGTTTGTTGAGTTGGACTCAGGTTTGGCAGTAGGCCCTCCTGATGTGCAGGCATTGGAGAGAGCCTAGAGCCTGGTAGCTCCATTTCCTGATGTTGTGTTCTTGGAAGCTTCTTCTTGAGGACTAGGCTGCAAGTGGGCTTGTGGGAGGGTGGAGAAACAAGGGCAGCCATCAAAAAAGGCAAAGACAGGGGTCAGCTCATGGACTCATGAGGTGGAAGAGGCCTGGAGAGTCACCAGGTTGACAAAAAGATTGGATTCAAACATGAAAACTAATGACTTTCTTTTACTGACCTTGGAAGCATCAGGGCCAGGGTGTTTCCCTCTGAAGTTGGACACATGGAAACAGGATGAAAGGCTTTGCTGGGTCACCTATGGAGTTTGAAGATGAGCTGCACCCGACCTGGGTGGGCCGTCTTTCTCCCATGTGACCTAGGTGCACCATTCTTCTAGCAGGTGCTGAGGGTCCTCACTAGATACACCTTTTCAGGCTTATTCCTTCTCCCCTTTTCTTTCCATGGGCTCTCTTTACCCCTCTTTACTGGCTTTAATTGGAAGAGATTCCTCAACCCTCAGGTTGGCCAGGAAGGCGGACAAGTGGAATCCTGGAGTGGCTTTTCCCTGCCAGGCGATAAGTCTCTCATTACCATTAAGTGGAAGGCTCATTTCAGAGCTCGTGGTGAGAGCTGGCGGGTGCTATAAATAGCCGTGTTGTGAAGGTTGGCGGGTGAGCAGTGACAGGGCAAGGGCCTCACAGTTATCTTGGTGGGTAATTGCACTCCAGCACAGGAAAGGGGGGCGGGCTCAAGAGCGATAGACACTTGACCCCTGTTCTGATTGTTCCTGCCTGTCTCAGAGCAGCTCTGGCATTTTGTCTGCTGGCTTCCTCACACTGGGGGATGGGGAACATTGGGGTCTGTGTCCAGGCATAGGGCAGCAGGGTGCCTGTTAGAACTTCTGGCCCTGGAAGCTGATACTTCACCTCATTGGTTAATGTTCATTGCTAGACTCATGTGTCCTGCCCGCCTGTCTGCCTCCTCTACGTTGTCCGAAACCCTGGGCCCACGGTTGAGGATGTTTGGGAACCATGTTTGAAAGTCTCAGAGGTTTACTTAAATCTAGGAGGGGAAAGGGAGTGGAAAGCAGGGTCCATGGGAATATGTCTGCAGTCAGAGGTCCAAGGCCCTAGTATCGTCTGATATATCTGGATCTGTTAGCATTGCTTAGGATAGAGAGGATGTCAGAGGCATAGGGTTCTAGGATGGAAAGTGTGATGGGTTACACTTTGACTTGGGTACCTGGGGTTCTAGTTCATGGCATCTCAGTGCTGGGTAGTCTAGGTGTGCTAAGTTTCATGGCTGTATGAGTCCATCCTTTTGGTCCCAGATATACATAGAACTAGTAGTGTCAGATTCTTAGGTTTTTTTCCTTAGACTGCTGCATGCTAGAGAATGGGGCCTTGCTCTTAGGGAGGTCTGCATGTGTCTCCCTCATGAAATTTAGAAGAGATTGGGGGAAGATACAGCCAGCAATAAACAGTTCCTAGGGCCACTGTGGGACAAAGTGAGTCAGGGGCCCTGTAGTGCTCATTCTACCTTTTCTAACTGGTTAGGAACGGAAGCTGTGTGCCCACCCTCGTCTGGAGATCTATCAACAAGACCAGATCCATTTCATGTGCCCGCTGGCACGGCAAGGTGACTTCTATGTGCCAGAAGTGAAGGAGACAGAGCGGAAATGCCGGGGGCTTGTAGAAGCCAGCAATGCCCAGGTGGATGGCACAGGTATAGAAGGTAGGGGAATAAGGGTGGGGTCCTGCCTGGAGCCACTGTTCTGGATACCTAGGGGCATGGTTGAGAAGGCTATTTCTTCTGGGATGGCACTGTGGATGTCAGGCTATGCTTGGCAGAGGTAGGAAGACATATGCCTACCCCCAGAACCCACATTCAGAGTGCCTGTTTCCAGACATGTGGATCTATGTGCATGTAGATTCACACATATTCCCCTGACAACACTAAGACCCTGTCTGGATTCCCTTCAGATGCAACAGGAGTACCTTTGGAAACACAGATCACTGATGGATGTTCATGGGAGGGGGCTGAGGCTACTCAGGAAAAGAGTCACTTGGGTGGGGCTCAACAGGAAGTAAGATTGGCACTGGATCTGGAAGGTAAGGAGGTGAACAAAGTGTTCTCCTGTACCCCAGTATGGGGCCCCATCCAGAGCCAACTGCTTTCTCCCTGCTCCTGCTGCTAGAGCCTGCCCACATACCTGCTGGCAGCAATAATGCCCCAGGTCCAGGTCAGCAGGCTGCTTGCCTGTTCCCAGCTCCACCATGACCTTTCATGACAAGTAGGAAAGGGGCCTGTTGGTTAACTTCCCAACAATCTTTGGCCATCCTGGTGGAGCCTTGTGTGACTCTGGAAGTCCATGATTTCTAGGAGTGATGCAGGGCTGTGGGGAGAGAGACTGTCTTTTTCCTCTCTAGAAGAGTTTGCCTATTCAGTCTTAAATAGCCAAGGTCACCCTAGAGACACATGTGTTGGAGGGGGCTAAAAGGGAAGGGTACTGGGAAACAATCTATACTCCCTAGGGGCTTATGTCCAACACAGTTAACTTCATCTGCCACTTAATTACCTCCATGGGGTACTGCTCCCTTCGGCCTAGTAGTACCCAGCAGACACTCTTCAGTGCCCCTACTGTGGGCATAAGACATGGTACAAAGTCATCAGGCCAAGGCAGTCCCCAGGGCAGGAAGGAGGAGGACCTTGACCTTCCCTGCAACCGTCCTCTGCTCCCTGCCTTCCCCCTCCTTGGCCCACCCATCCAGCTTCCTTCCCTCCCAAACACTGCCTGCCAGGGGGTGTTAAAGGACTGCTTGGCACCTGCTACAGCTGGCTGCAGCCGCAGCAATCACACTTCCCAGCTCTTTGGTCTGCCCGCCCACTCCCTGGTGTGGGGGCTGAGGGTCTGCCCACTTCTGACGGCCTGTCCTGACACTCAGGGCGGACTCTAGGCGTTCACCCACCAGGTGCATGCCACTTAACACAGCAGTGTGTAGTGGGTGCATGGTGGGTGCCTGACCACCCAAGGCTTGGCCTGTCCCTGCTGCTTCCCTGCCGCTGCCCCATCTTGGGCTGGGAGGTGAAAGGGGGTGATTAGCTGCCTTGTGCCTGTTATTACATTGATGTATTATTTAGCTCCAGAGAGGCAATGAATATTTGATCTACTTGCACTGACTGTGGGCAGAGGAAGGAGGGACTGGGGTGAAAGTTTTAGCTTCCATGCCCTGACCAGCAGTCCTTGGGATTTAGGTGCTGTCCTGCCTTGCCTGGCAGTCTTTCCCCAAGGACACAGACTTAAGACACTGTGGGTGGGCCTTGGTGGGGCTATAAGGGTACCACTCCCCTGCATTACACCTCTTTGTCCTGAAGTCTCCTATGTTCCCAGAGGCTATCTTTATCCCAGCATGCTGAGCCCAGGGCAGAAGGAGGTACCCCTGAGCCCCTTCCTCTGATCACCCCTAGCCTAGGAGTGGGGAGGGAGAAGGCATCCGACTGGGAAGCAGGCAGGTCCTTGTATCTCTGGGTCTCAAGAGAACTAGTGGGTGGATGGGCTGACAGAATTTGACAGTAATGGAGCCAGGAAGGAAATATCCCCCTTGTGCCTTTCAGGCTTGTAGTCCCTGGGGCACTGATCATCATTTAAGGAGTGAGTGAGGAGCTGGAGTTCTGTCCCAGGGTCAGAAGCAACCACCCATAACTCAAGGCTCAGCCTGGGCTCCCACTCCACTGTGCTCACATTGCCTCCATGCTGGGAGCCATGCCAGGGATCCCAGCAAGAGAAGGGGCCATGGGCTGGTGGTCTGGCACTTCCAAGGCTTACTGCACATCTGCCAGTAGGGCTGAAAGGGAGTCTTCTGGGGGCCAAGTAGATTGGGGGAGCAGGCTCCCAATCCCAGTAGAAGTTCAAAGACGGCTCCAGGCCAGTCCAAATGCCCATTAGTTCCCAGTTGTGCCCTGTTCACCTCTCTATCAAGAGATAGGAACTGGGGTTGCCTTCCTATCCCTTACCTTCTATGATGTTCGACAGCTGCTCCCTTCCCCTCACATAGGAAGGGTGTCACATCAGTCTTCTCCCAAACTGGATTCCTGCACAGTGTGCCTGAACTCCTTGTTCTTCCTTGCCATCTCCTAACTGCATTTAGTGATTCTGATCTGGGAAGATGAACTGAGGGGTTGCTTCTGGACAGGGCAGATGAAGAGCCACTTACTCGGAGGATGTGTTGGATGTGCAAGAGCCAGTTATGGGGGACTTGGGCCATCAGCCAGCTCAGCACTGTTTTGATGCTCCCCAGCCACCAGCAAAAGTGCTCTCATAGCCCTTTTTGCTAACTTGTAACAGAAGTAGTACTAAAAGTTTGTGGATAAGGTGGGGTAGGTGAGGGTTCTTCTGGGTTGACCCAGGCACAGCGGGAGAAAGTCCTTAAATAAGCTTTATCCCTGCACCCTCCTTCTTTGCAATGTGTTTCTCAAGATTTTTCTATTCATATCACTTAGCCTTCTCAAGTGGGGATGCAATGAGGCCAGGGGTAGGGACCAGCTGATTTCTTGGTTACAGCTGCTCCTTGAGGAGGCCTGCATGGGGGTGGAAGCTGGAGAGTAGACCTCTTGGTCCATTCTTCCATCCTCTTGCCTTATGGGCAGTGTTCTGTAGCTGACTGGACAAACTTCTCTCCAGACCTGAAATGAGAGGTGAAGGGGATAATACTTGGGTCTCTTTGTTCTATACTCAGTTCCTTACCCTAGGGCTGAGTGGCTCTTAATGGATGAAGGGGTGGAGGGTAGCAGGCTTTGTGGGAGTGCAGGGAGCTGAGGCTAATTCAGGGAAAGGAGAGGAGTAAATAGCCAGCTGCTCCCCTCTCCCATTCCTCCCTCCCTGCTCTCTCCCTTAGTCTTGTCAGTACAGCCCCAGTTAGGGCAGAGGGCAGCTAGAATGGGCCTCCTGAGCCAGGATGGCTATATAATTTACGAGGGGACTGTGCACACTGAGTTGCTGAGCTGGTGCAAGTCCCTGCCCCTGTCCCTAGAGAAGGGAGTTGGGGAGGGGATGGTGGTGGTCTTGGCTAATCTATGCTCCCTTGTCCTGGCCCTAGGAGCTGACACAATGAGTGACATGAGTTCTGTAAGCCTGGAGGTGGGCCCTGGCAGCCGGGAGACTTCAGCCATCACGCTGTCCCCTGGGGCAAGCAGCCGTGGCTGGGATGATGGTGATAACCGGAGTGAGCACAGCTACAGCGAGTCCGGTGCCAGTGGCTCATCCTTTGAGGAGCTGGATCTGGAGGGCGAGGGGCCCTTGGGGGAACCACGATTGGGCCCTGAGGCCAAGCCTCTGGGTCTGTTTCGGGAGCCTACTACCCCTGAGAAGGATGAGGAGTAACTTGCATCCTGCACCCTCCTGTGGGTACTGTTGCTGAGGAACTGAGCAGATTGTCTAACCCTCTTCCTTCTTCACCTCTCCAGCCCAGACTATGGCTGGGGATGCCTGGGGGACCTGACTTCTACCCCAGGCCTCTAGTTATGCCTTCTCCTCACTGCCCTTTTGGTTCCCAGGGCCAGAGGAGATAGGGACTGTTACCTGTACCAGACTCTTGGGCTGCCACCCCTGTTGTCTTTTTTCAGATTCATGTTAGAGCGCTTCCAGAACCCAAAATAAAGCAAATGATTTTCTTGTTTCACCTGTATTTGGACTGTGTGTTTGTTAGTTCTATATTGGGGAGATAGGCTAGGAGTAGGCAGGAGCCTCCCAAACCCAAGAGGAAAGAACCCTGGAGTTGGGTGAGGAGGATATTGAAGGTTTTCACTCCTTGCTCTGTGGCCCCAGGGGACAGTCACCCCTGCATTGCAATAGCCCTAGGAGCTTCCCAGGCTGCTGAAGAGCAGAACAAGGGGTGTGAGAGCCAAGCTGAGTGTCCTTCAGGGCTCCGGAATGGAGAGCTTGAATTCTGCCTTTGTTTGCTTCCAAAGGAGGCCTTTGTGTCTGTCTTGAGTGTGCCTGTGCTCATGCTGGGACCTTCCCAGCAGGTGAGGCTGTCCCTGCTGTGACTGCCAGTGCCTTTGAACCTGGGTATGTTCATGGACACCACAGATAGGGCTGCTGGTGGTGTTCCTGGGTGAGGCTGTGCCCAAGTAAGCATCAGAAAGGATGTGATTGTGGCTGGGCATGACTGTATATGTATGGATGACTATGTAGCTATGTGTGTGTGGTGCTTTGTTTTGTGTGTTTACCAGTATGTGATTGCATTATAGACGTGTGAGGCTAGCTGGCTGGAAGCATCTTTGGGGGGCTTTGTCTATATACAGTTCTCTCTTTGTGGCTATGTATGTTCATCTGTGCATGCATGGTTATGTGTTCATGTGTAAAGCTATATGTTTTATTATGTATCATTGTATAAAGCTGTGGATTAGTGCAACTGTAAGCTCTTATTACAACTGTGTTTGTGAGCATATCTATGTGCATAGCTATTTGTATGTGTCCATATGTATGTCCTGCTAAGGCTATGTGGGTGGCTATGTCATTGTGTATATATGTAGCTGTGTCCACTAGTACTGTGTGGGAGCATTGCATTTACTTTTGGGTGTTATCTACATATACAGCTTTATATTATGGCTGCACTGACCTTTACAGTTACGTGTGTGGCCAGGTCCACTTGTACAGTTGTGTGTGTAAGGCTATGTGTATGTATCCATTTGGAAGTGGTGGCCACACAGCTGTGTGTTACCATGTGTCTGTGCTGCAGTGGGACAGTACAGCTCACTTGCTGCAGGCCATGTGATGGACTTCTTGGGCTGCTGTTTGTAGCCATATCTGTATAAAGTCCTTTGTCTTTTGTGGGGCTCTTTTGGTGAGTTGCCTGGATGTGTGGCTGGGATTGCTGTGCGGTTTCTTTTACCTCAGTACCCTCCTGCAGTCAGCCTCTCTGCTACATGAACCCAGCCCATTGCTTACTTACCCCAGGGAGCAGTCTCTCAGAGCCAGCTAGAGGGTAAAGGCAGCCGGTGGCAGAGCCAGAGCTGGAAGACAGCATGTCTGTCTCTCCAGCTTCTTCTGACAGCTCTGAACCCTTATCCCACTGCCCATTGTGATCTCATTTGCATTTGGGTTTGGGTTTGATGTCTGTTTTCTTTCAAACCTGTGTTATTTCCAGAGCAGTGGGGCATTAGGTTTGGGTGTACAGGGAAATAGTTGTTCTTGTGATCCCCTCCTATATGCCATACATACATATTGTGGGGGTGGGGGTGTGCTTAAGGGACCTGGGCTAGACATTTTCATCAGCACATAGCTGACCTTACTTCCACTGACACCTGTGGAAGAAAGGGCAGTTGCCAAAGGTGTGTGTAGGGTTGCGTGCCCCTTAGCACTTGTTAATGTATGTACATGTTGGGGGTAGATAACACAGGCTCTTGACCTAGATCTAGGTACAGCCCTTTCCCCAAATCCTTCAGCATAGCCAAGCACTACAACTTATCCACCACCCCTACCCAGGGGCATCCTTCCCCATCCTGCTGGGGGAGGGAAGAGTCAAGAGCATCTTCTCAGAGCTGTCCTCCCTCTGCTTGGGCTCCAGCTCTGGCTTCCTCCTACGCAGCCAGTTCCAGAAGTCTTTCCTCAGCCCCCTCCCCTTGCAGATCCCCCTGCTAGCCCTAGCAGATTACTCAGGGTTGACCTTAGTCCCTGGTCCTGAAGGCCCCGCCCCCTACAGTATCTCTTAGCCATAAATGCCCTTTGTGCATAGAAGTGGAGGGGAGGGGTAGCAGCTGTAAAGGTCATCTGCAGGAAGGAAGGGGTGGCCCCATCCTCTGACCTCCCCCTGCCCACTGTCTTCCTCTTAGTTATTCAGGCCTGCTCTGACATGGAGCCTGGTATGTGGTCTCAGCTGCAGTCGCTGGATGGAAAGAATGGATGTGAGGACAGGGACAGACTTGCGGCAACAGGCCAAGGGCTCCACCTACCTCACACGTGCCCTTTTACCTGTCCCCCACCGTCCGCTGACAACCCTAGGGCTAACTCCTCCTCTCTTACACATGGGAAACCATATCAGCGTATCAGCGTGCTCATTTCTCCAGCCTCAGTGACCTTCCCAACCCAGTACCCCATACCTTGTACCCACCGCTCTCTGGGACGCAGTCTGACTACGAGGTGGTGGGGGTAGAGAGGCACCTACTCCAGCACAGCGGGAGCACGAGGGGATTCAGCACCACGCGGCGGACAGCTCCTGGTCCAGCGAGGAGCCGGAGTCGCGGAAGGCTTTGGGCAAGGAGTCCTGGAGGTGTCCGAAAGGAGGCGGAGGCCAGATTGGGAGGGGGATACCTAGAGTGGGGAGGACCGGAGGAGGGACTGGGGGCGGGCTGGGGCCGGGGGCGGGGCGGGCCGCGATTGAAAGCGGCAGGGTGAGCTGGCGGAGAGCGCAGAACCAGCGAGCGAGCGAGCGAGCTAGCGAGCTGGAGCCGGGAGCCCTGCGCCCCTTGCTCCACTCCGATTCTCTACGTGCTGGAGCTGGGCGCGCCAGGTAGGGTGAGCCTGTAGTACCGCGGCCGCTGCAGACCTTTTTAGCCCTGACCCCACGTCCTGGCGCCCCCGGGTCCTCGAGTTCTGGGGCACCCAGGCCGGGGCGTACAGACCTGCTCTCTGGGAGCTTTGGGAAGCGGGAGGACAGCCCAGGGCGTCCCGCCTTTCTTCCCATAAAACGCACGACCTGCGTCCCGCTCCTCGGTTCATTCCTCGTGTTCCAATGTCCTCTGATTCTTCTTTCTGTCTGTGCCTCCGTCTTTTGTCTCAGCCTTCCTGGACTCTCTTGCCCCCTGATCGGATTTGTGGCCCTGGCCTCCTGGCTACCCGATTCCGGGGTTCTGTCCCCTTCCTGCCTCTGGTTTTTCATCTGGGCCTCCCTAGTGCTGAACCCTTATTTGCGTTCCTTTCCATGAGTGTTGGTCTTCATTCCGGCTTCTCTCCTGTTTGCCTGGTTGAACTGATTCTTTCCGGTTCCCATGGGATCCCAATCCCCTTGTCCCAGTACCAGTGGGAGATTTAGCTCTGGGGAAATGAGGAGACAAAGTGAGAAGCTCCAGTCTGTATAGCCAGGACATGAGATCCATGAACTAGTTGCTGTCTGCTTCAGCCTTAGTTTCCTTTCCTGTTCTGAGGAAAGATTTATATCCCTCCCCCAGCCTTTTTAAGCCAGCATGATTGTAGGAGCCTGTGTGGGGTGGGTGTTTGGGAAGGCTACTGGGGGTATAGATGATAGAATGTAGAGTGGAAGACAGAGAAAGGGGGTGTCTAAAGGCTAGCCTCAGGATGGACAAGCCCCTGAGACTGAGAATGGGGAGGTCTGGAAATGGTGACTTTCTCTGCTGTATTTGAAGTAAAAAGAAAACAGAGGCAGAAAGTCTCAAACAGTATCTTACATAGAGCTAGAGTTCAGAACTCATCCTCAGCACTAGAGATTCTGACCAGATGAATTGTTCCCCAACCTATGACACATGTACTTTCATATGTACTTGTCCTGCTCATACAGGACCCATGGCCGCTTTGGTGCCTTCCCTGGGGAGTCTCATTCAGGGCCTATGGTCTCCATTTCTTTCTCAGTCAGGTAACTGTAGAGATGGCCTTTTAAGAACCAGATGCTAGCACCCTTAGGTATTTATCCAGGTATGTGGAGGCACCCAAATGAGGCCTGGGGAAGGAGGCTGGAGGTGGTGCCCTAGAATTCCTGCTAAGCAGAGGCTCCAGTACTGCCCTGCATGGAAAAGGGGACCAGCAGCTTCTTTTAAGTAGCTTTTTATAGAAGACTAAGAGAATACTCTGTCATGTTATGAGGTCTCCCTAGGATTGGAGATTATCACTTGGAGACTCTTCCCTGGTAGGTCTTCAGACAGCAGGGTCCCCTCTCTGAAAATCTGAGGCTCAGGACAGGGACTGTTTCCCTGAGTTTGTAACTTTGACATGGCCTCTGCTGAAAAGGTACTGACCTTGAGATCTTGTGACGTTTGTGTAGAGTCTTGGACAGACACCCTTTAATTTATAGAGGGCTTGGCATGGGTTGGGTTCTTCTGACTTCTTCCTGGGCCTCCACTCCCTGTCTCTTTTCTCCTTATGCTGAGCTTGGTAGGTGTACAGGGCCCATATCTAGCCCAAATCAGAGCAGGGTTGAGTGAGAGACTCAGGGAGGTATCCCAGGAGCTTCTCAGCCTAGTTAGTTACACCACTCTCCCCATGACCCCTGAGTCCCTGGGAATTGGATGTGAGGAGGGACAGAGTCAGAAGGGGAAGCTGGGGAAAAAAAGAGGCAGCCACTTTTAGGTTCCACTTTTCTCTTTCTGTTTGTCTCTGTTTCTCTGCAGGAGCTGGGTCCCTTCTCATCCCTCTTCCTGTCTGTCCTTTCCTGGTCCCTTTCTCCTCCTCTCTTTGCCTTTGCTGCTTCTACCCTAATCCCCTGGAGACCAGCGTCTGCTGGACCTATCCATCCCCTTTGGAGCCATGGGATCGCTGCTTGGGCTCCTGGCACTGCTGCTGCTGTCGGGTGCTGTGGCTGAGGGCCCGGCCAAGAAGGTGCTGACCCTGGAGGGGGACCTGGTGCTGGGTGGGCTGTTCCCGGTGCACCAGAAGGGTGGCCCAGCTGAGGAGTGTGGTCCTGTCAATGAGCATCGTGGCATCCAGCGCCTGGAGGCCATGCTTTTCGCACTG